ACCATATTCATAGATACAACAGTCTGATGTTAGCCAGAGGGAAAGGGGGTTGGGGAGTAGGCAGAGGTGGGCAGAGCAGGGGAAATGGGAACAGAAGGAGACTGCTTGGGGCAATGGCTCACGATGCAGTGCAGTGCATACATACATGGTGTTTTGTTGAGTGGTATTTATACAATTTGCATGAGTTTGTGAACCAATGTCACCCTAATAAATGAACTAATAAAAAAAAGTGGGTCAGCACACTGGAAGGTTGTCTGGGTAACTGGAGGGACTGCAGCACTGAGACAGACGGTGGAGAGAGGAAAGTAGGTGCCTTTGGAATCAGCCAGTATGTATTCGTGAGAACGACATATGGGGCTTTGGTTAAATGGAGTTACAGAAGTAAAAATGTTACAAGGGAGTTTGAGTTAGCACCCCTAAAGCAATGGGAACAAAGGGAAGCGGTTGGAATTATGGGGATCTAGAAGTTGAGGGGGATTCTGCAGTTGGACCTCAGACATTGGATGGTGGGCACTGCTGGTACATCCTAAGGCCAGCAGCAAGCTGGTTCTGGGACTAAACAACCTGGTTATCAGGGCCAACTGCATCTCCCCAGGTAAAATACTGCTATGGCCCCAGCCAGTGTGGCTCAGTTGTTTGAACGTCATCCCATGCACGGAGAGGTCTCTGGTTTGATTCCTGGTCAGGGCACACATGCCCAGGTTGCGGGCTCGATACCAATCCAGGGCGTGTAGGAAGCAGGCAGTCGATGTTTCTCTCTTTCTCTAGAATCTGTAAAAACACTTTTTTTTTTAAAGATACTGCTTTTGTAGGCATGGTGTTGAACAGTAATAGCAAGCAAACAAGAAGAAATAAACCCTTCTCCCCTCATCCTGCCTCCCACTCTTCCTCTAGTAACCCCTTCTCACAAAGTACATAAAGCCAGTAGAGAATGGAGAAGTGAGGGATTTGGAGCTCACACAAATAGCTTAATAACAGGCTCAGGTGTCATGGAGAATGAACGGCCCAATATGTGTCTCCTCCTGTAAGTTCTAAAATGAATCGGGAATGAGGCAGAGTAATTAATCAGATACAATGGTTGAGATTTGATTACGTGAAAAAAAATCCTCAGATTTAGGAAACAAGAAGAGATGTAAACACATGGTACTGAATTACGGAATGTATACCCACAGATAAATAAAATAACCAGCTTGGAAACAACATTTCCTTAGGGGAATCCTATAATAGTGGAGGCAGACTTCTCAGAAGCAACAGTAGGATTCAGGAGAAAATGGAATTAGATTGTGTATTAGTTTCCTAGGGCTAGCATAACAAATGACCATAACTAGGTGTTTTTAAACAGAAATGTATTTACTCAGAGTTCTGGAGACTAGAACCCTGAAATCCAGGTGCTGACAAGGCCACACCCTCTCCGTGGCTCAGGGAGAACCCTTCCTTGCCTCTTCTGGCTCTAGTGGTTTCTAGCACTCCTTGGGTGTTGGGTGTGGCAGTCTCTGAAAACTTAGAATAGAGGGGATAGCTATAAGAAAAATCTAAGTAGAGAGTCTTTTAATGGGGAGACCTGAGAACTATTCCCTTTCAAAGTTAGGAAAGCAAAGATTTTTCTTATTTTCTTTGTCATTGCCTCTGGTTCACATTGTATTGTTTTATAAGGGTTTCTTCTCTAGAAAGGAAAGGTGTGTGTGTGTGTGTGTGTGTACATACACTATATGTATATATAGTGTGAGATAGCTGGATTCAGTATCATACAAATACCAATATGGTTTTTTTTGTTTTTTGTTTTCAAAAAACTATGATGCGATAGCAAGAGAATTTCTAATACTCAGAAATTCTGGTGGTCTCTAAATATCATTTCCCTCTAGGGGGAACCAAGACTAGAGAAATGGCTGATTCCCGTACTGTGGCAGTAAAAAATTGAGATGAAACAAAAAGCCAGGAAGCACCGAAATCCTGGAATTCCTGTCCAAAAGTACAGGAGCCAACTGGAAGGGAGTCTTACTGGTCAAAATGGGACATTTTGAGCATTTGGGTGTGGGAGACAACCAAAAACCTCAGTAGGTTTTAAAAATTAAGTAAGTTAAATAATCATGTGTTCATGGTGATTGTTTGTTTGTTTATTTATTTACTTTTGGTACGTGCCCCTAGCAGGAACCAAACCTCAGACTCTCTGGTCCACAGCCGATGCTCCAACCGCTGAGCCAAACCGGTCAGGGCCATGGTAGTATTTTTTAAAAATCAGTGATCCCCTTAGGAGTTTAATGGGATAACTTGCTATTCTAAAAACTGGTAAAGTAGAAGGAAAAAATTAGGAATTTTTTTAATAGACTTCTTTTTCAGAATTTTCAAATAATTGATGAGGAAAGAAGGGTTTGGTTAAGACCTACAGCAGGAATAGTGGAATTAGAATAAATGATGAGAACATGGGTCTGGGCAGAACTGTTCTCAGCCACGGCTCCAGGGCACTGTGAAGCCCTGATCCCTGGAGTAGAAATACGCTAACTTCTGCAAAGGGCTGGACAGCGTGTTTCAGGCCTGGAGGCCGAACAGTGTTGTGCTCCCATAAAACTTGATTGTAGCAAAAGCTACAGGTCAGCTCTTCCCTTCATGCTGTAGTGGCTGTTTTGCATCCCTCTTCCCTAAAGTATCTGTTATATACAGCGAATTCACTTCTGTCCTGTGCATCTTTAGAGGTACTAGGTATATACCTTGGAATTTTTGAGGAAACAGTCACACAAATAATGCTCTCTGCAGCTTAATTCTGTCTTCGAACTCTGGTTAATCTTTAGGTGAAAGACTGATGAGAGAGAATCAGGTTAACGGATGAATTTTAGCCTCACAGAATGACAGCTAATCAAATACTGTGTCTCAGAAGGAAGTATAGAGCATCATCTGTGAAATACTGCCAAAAAATCAAGCCTATCTGATCAGAGCCTGTAGTTGTAGCCACCAGGTCACAGGAAAGTTAGAGGGCAGTGGAGCATGGCGCCACCGTGTGGATGCCATCAGCCGACTCCGTCACGTGGGATTCTGCAAGGACACAGTGGCCACGGTTCTCCAAGAAATAGAGGGACACTTAGAAGTTCAATTCAAGGGACATATCAACTACATGTAGTGTATGAACCTTTTTGGATTTGATTCGAACACAACTTTTTTTAATCCTCAATAGAGGATATTTTTACATTTATCTTCAGACAGCGTGAGGAAGAGAGAGAGAAACATTGATGTGAGAGGGAGACATCGATTGGTTGCCACCCGCATGACCCCAACTGGGTCCCGGGATGAACTGCAACCAAGGTACATGCCCTTGGCCGGAATTGAACCCATGACTCTGGTCCGCAGGCCAATGCTCTAACCACTGAACTAACCAGCCAGGGCCGAACAAACCAACTTTTTAAAATATTGAACAGGTGGGAAGTTTTTACCCTTAGTCAATATTTGATAATAAATAAATCATTTATAGTCTTATAATTCATACAGAAGAGCAGAGGGCCAAGGATAGCTGATTTCCCAAAACAATGTGGTAGGAGCACTCATTCTGCCGAGTGAGTGGCAGTGGGTGAGCTCTGAGGTTGGCACAGAAATGGTGATCGGAGCAGTGGAGTGGAGACCGGAGACACCTGGGAGCCGGGAGGTCTTCCATCAGCAGCACCAGTACAGCTGCTTACTGGTTAGGGGGTGAGAGGAGGGCATCTCTCGCTTCGCATCTAAAAATAAGTTCAAGATAGACTGAAGGCCAAAACTTTCTGAAGAAAATGTAGGTGAATATCTTTAAGATGTTGAGATAAAAAGAATCCTGTCACAGCAGTGAAAGACCATGGGGCCTGTTCCTCAGGGAAGAAAACAAGATCGCTCTTGGCTTCTCCCTTCCATTTCATGTCTCAAAATGTTCTTCATCCCCTGGCCTTTTCTTTCTCCTGACCTTTTCTTTCTCCTGACCTTCCTGTTCCCTACTGGGCTAGCAGTGGGAATGGCACGTGTGTTTCTCATGAGCCAGAGAAGAACCATCCCTGCCTTCCACCTCCAGGCCAGTTCCAGCTGGCATCTTGTCCACGGTTTCCAGCCAGACTTGGCACTGCCCCTGGCTTGGGAGGGGCCCGCTGCTGGGGGGTGGGTTGAAGAGCAAAGACAATTGATGCGCATGGATGCCTTTGTAAGTGCACAGCCTCGAGAGCTTGGAGATGCTTATAAAATCCTGCCTGATCTTTAAAAAATGTATGTTGCTTTTTTGTTAAATATGTTCTTATTGATACTTAGAGAGGAAGGGAGAGGGAGAAAGAGAGAAACGTACATTGGCTGCCTCCTGCACACTCCCTGGTAGTAATCGAGACTGTAGCCTGGGCATGTGCCTTGACCAGGAATCAAACCTGCGCCTCAATGCATGGGGTCGGGGGTTGCTCAATCCACTGAGCCCACCAGCCTGGGGTGTAGTTTTTTGAGGGAAAGAGGTAAGGTCTATGGTAGTGATAGGATCATCTTCAGTCTTTTTTTTTTTAATCCTCACCCAAGGACATTTTTGCATTTATTTTCAGACAGAAGGGGAGGGATGGAGAGAGAGGGCGAGAGAAACATTGATGTGAGAGAGACACATCCACTGGCCACCACCCACATGACCCCACCTAGGGCTGGGGATGAACTGCAACCGAGGTACGTGCCCTTAGTGGGAACTGAACCCGGGTCCCTCTGGTCCACGGGCCCACGCTCTAAGCGCTGAGCCAAACTGGCCAAGGCATAGTCTTCTATTTTCTTTATTTTTCTTCTAATTTCACTATTCTTCAGCCTTGCCATGTTCCCTCCCCTGTTCCAGTGCTTGCCTTACCGTCTCGTCACTCAGCTCGAGCCCAGTGTGATGAAATGAAACAGCCCCACTCTTTTTATCATTCACAAAGCAGCCCAGCTGCAGCGTCCTCCTCGCCAGGAGACGGCTGGCGAAGGGAGCAGTCAGCATCTCTGTAAGTAGAGCCTTCACTCACTCGTGCCGTGATGCTTTGTGTGCACTGCAGACCGGGCCAAGAGGAGGAAGCTCCGGGAAGAAAGGGCATGGCTGCTGGCCCAAGGGAAGGAGCTCCCCCCAGAGCTGTCCCACCTGGACCCTCACTCCCCCGTGCGGGAGGAAAAAAAGACTAAAGACCTGTGAGTATGTAATGATACTAACATTAGCAACCTGTGAAATTTGTTAAACACAGGCATTGCGCTAATAAGCACTTTTCCCCTTTAGCCCTGAAAACAACCCTATGCGGTTCATGAGCTTCTGCTTCTATTTTATGCTTTTTTGGTTATTCTTTGTGTCATAAATATTCTGTAGAGTAAAATAAAACCTGGGAAAGACTGCTGTTAAATAACTAACATAGGATCATAAATTAAGTTTTGGGTCAGCAAAGCCACCCCATCATTTTATAGATGAGAAAAATGATATTTCCTGTTTTTGCTTAAGTATGCTAACCTTCAGCTCTCTTCATAATTATTTTCAGGAGTGTTATAACTCTTACAAAGTTATCTTTCATGAAAATTATTGGATCTATCCCAAAACCTGGTGCAGTCAGCTGTATTTGTGGTTGAATTAAGAGCGTTAAGGAGAGAGGTGGTCAGAATTACTATTAATTTCTCACTTTTCGATTTACAGCTTTGAGTTGGATGACGATTTCACCGCCATGCACAAAGGTCAGTCTCCATTCCCGCCCACGTTTCTGGTGGAGGTGTTGCTGTGTTGGGTGTTAAGCTCTCTCTCTGCCTCCCAGTTCTAGATGTGCTCAAGGCTCACAAGGATTCCTGGCCCTTTTTGGAACCTGTGGATGAATCATATGCCCCAAACTATTATCAGATTATTAAGGTAATGAAGCCTACTGTGCAGTTACACCTTTCGTGACATTTGTTTTGCTCTTGCTTTTTGTTGTTGTTTTGTTTTGTTTTGTTTTGTTGGAGTTCGTCTGTTATTCCTGGAGAGCCGGGTTTGTAGGATATATACTAAGCTTCGGAGCAAATCAATAGCATGATTCCTTTGCCTCGTACGGATTGAGATGTTTTCTCCAGCATATTGAGATTGAATGTGTCCTGGTCTAGGTTCCCATGGATATTTCAAGTATGGAGAAGAAATTAAATGGAGGTTTATACTGTACCAAGGAGGAATTTGTAAATGACATGAAGACTATGTTCAGGAATTGCCGAAAATATAACGGGGAAAGTAGTGGTAAGTGGAGAAGGTTTGTTCTGGGTGCGCATAAGCTATACCGTTATAACCAAGACTAAAATGCCTTTTCTTTTAGAAATACACATGCTAGTGATTCGGACCTTTCTTTGGTCTACAAAAGGATGTGCTTTAAAAGCCGTGGATCTGCCCTGGCTGGTTTGGCTCAGTGATTAGAGCGTCGGCCTGCGGTCTGGAGAGACCTGGGTTCGGTTCCCGCTAAGGGCACGTACCTCGGTTGCAGTTTGTCCCCGGCCCTTGGTTGGTTGTGCGGGTGGCAGCCACTCAATGTGTCCCTTTCACGTTGATGTTTTTTTTTCTCTCTCTCCCTCCCACTCTGTCTGAACAAAAAATGGAAAAATGTCCTCAGGTGAGGATTTTAAAAAGGCCGTGGAGCTGGCAGTTCGGGCCCCTTGACGGCGTGTGCCAGGAGCTCTTGCCGCTCACACGAGAGGGGGTGCCGCTGGTGGCCACTGCTCAGGCTCCTCCTCATGGTTCTCCTTTTTTTTTTTTTTTTTTTTTTGTTATCCTCACCCGAGGATATTTTTCCACTTTTTGTACAGATAGAGTGGGAGGGAGAGAGAGGAAGGGAGAGAGAGAGAGAAACATCGACGTGAAGGGACACATCGAGTGGCTGCCACCCGCACGACCAACCAGGGCCGGGGACAAACTGCAACCGAAGTACGTGCCCTTAGCGGGAACCGAACCCAGGTCTCTCCGGACCGCAGGCCGACGCTCTAACCGCTGAGCCAAACTGGCCAGGGCCTCCTCATGGTTCTGCGGCCAGTCTGGGTCCAGTGTGCACTGTGCCTGCTTAACACAGGCAGCGAGCCGCGGGCAGGACTGCGCTGGGGCTGATTCTCTGCCGTCTGATAATCAAGTGTGTGTGGGTCCTGGTGTAAAACTTGGAGCCATTTATCCTTGGCTCAGTGTGCCTCAGTTTAAACCCTGAGCAGATTCAATGATTATATTTGATATTTCTGCAATTTCACAAAATTTTGACTGGTTTGGAATAATAGTCCCAGAGTTGCTGTTCCAGCCATACAAACTGCAGCCTCTCAGGACAAAAACTCAGAGTTTGCCCCAGTAGCATCTTCTGTTCACCAGTAGTAGACTGGTCTTTTGTGGCCTGTAAAAGCTGGAGGGAAACCCTTGTGTCTTCTCATAGAGTATACCAAGATGTCGGATAATTTAGAGAGGTGTTTCCACCGGGCAATGATGAAGCATTTTCCTGGCGAAGATGGAGACACAGATGAAGAATTTTGGATCCGAGAGGATGAGAAGCGGGAGAAGAAACGGAGTCGGGCTGGGCGAAGTGGCGGAAGCCATGTCTGCACCCGCTCCAGGGATGCCGAGCCCGCCAGGAAGCAGCAGCCCGTGGAGAACGGAGGCAAAGCCCTGCCACCTGCTCGCCGAGCTCCCCCTTCTGGAGGCGACCAGAGCAGCACCTCCACACCGCGCCCTCTGGAGGTGGGCACCTCCAACAGCCGCGGCCTTGCGCACCCCCCGCACTACGGAGGGATGCCCAACCAGGCACCCCTTTTAAACCAGATGGTAAGAAATAGCTCAAGTTCTGCTGAGGCTTCTCCCAGTTGGTGAATTCAGAGGGAGGGAAAGTTGGCTCCTCGTCATGATAATTTTGCTGTAGGTGGGTGGTTTTTTCTCCCCTCGTCTCTTTCTTCTGTGCTTCCTTTTTTTAAATTAATTTGTTTATTTTATTTATTTATTTATTTATTTTTGAGAGAGAGAAACATGGGTTGTCTGCTTTCTACACACCCTCCACTGAGGATCAAGCCCAAAACCCGGGCCTGTGCCCTGGCCAGGAGTGGAGCTGGGACCACTCAGTCCACTGAGCCACCCAGCCGGGCACATTCTTCCTTTAGTCCTCCTGTCTCTTAATCATTTGACCCACACATTCTCTTTTTGGGCAAAAATTGGGATTAAAAATATCTCAAGTCATTTTCTGTATAAAGCACAGAGGTACAGCCCCAGCTGGGTGGCTCAGCTGGTTGGAACATCGTCCTGTACCCCAAAAAAAGGCTGCAGATTTCATTCTCAGAGTACATACCTGGTATTGTTGTGAGTTCGACCCCTCATCATTTTGTGCATACGGGAGGCAACCATTCAATGCTTCTCGCATTCTCTCTCTCTCCCCCAAAACCTCCCCGCCTTGCTCTCTCTCAAATCAATAAGCATGTCCTCAGAAAAATTTTTTTAAAAAAGCATAGCCCTGGCCGGTTTGTCTCAATGGTTAGAGCATAGGCCTGCGGACCAGAGAATCAAGGGTTCGGTCCCAATCTAGGGCATGTATCTCAGTTGCACTTTGGTCCCTGCCCTGATTGGGGTTGTGCAGGACGCAACCAGTCAATGTGTCTCTCTCACATCGATGTTTCTCTCTCCCTCTCTCCCCCTCACACCCCTCCCCCGTCGGAAAATAAATGGAAAAATGTCCTCGGGTGAGGATTTAAAAAATAAAAGTACAGCCCTGGCCAGTTTGGCTCAGCGGTTAGAGCGTCGGCCTGAGGACCAGAGAGACCCGAATTCGTTTCCCAAGAAGGGCATGTACCTCAGTTGCAGGTTTTCCCCGGCCCCAGTTCGGGTCATGTGGGTGGCAGCCACTTGATATGTCTCTCTTGCACTGATGTTTCTCTCTCCGTGCCCCCCCTCCTGCTCTATCTGTAGATAAATGCAGAAATGTCCTCGGGTGAGGATAAAAAAATTTTTTTTAAAGAAAAAGCATAGAACCTGGTCATGTGGCTCAGTGGAGTGAGCGTCAGCCCATGGACTAAGAGGTCCCGGTTCAATTCCCAGTCAGGGTACATACCCAGGTTGCAGAGTTGATCCCCAGTAGGGGGCGTGCTGGAGGCAGCCGATCGATGTTTCTCACATCCATGTTTCTATCTCTGTCTCCCTCTCTCTATAAAAAAGTCAATAAAACCCTATTTTTTAAAAAAACACAGAGCTACATTACAATATATACAATATACAGCTCATCTGTGTTATTTAAATGTCATGGTGGAAGTCAATTAGCGGGGGAAATTGGCTAAAAAGGCTCTTGGCAGAGGGGGCAATACTGAAAAAGATAAACAAGTCCTCCTCTCTGAGGGAAGGCAGCTCCGGCGCTGGTCCTGGTCGGGGTGAGCCCAGGTCTAGCAGGTCTCTGTCGTGCTGTGCAGGTGCTAGTGGGCAGTGGTGTTCGTCTTCAGGGAAGTCCTTCCTTCCTCCCTCCCTCATGCCTCTTTGCTTCCCCCACCCCCACTCCTTGCCTCCACTCGACACCCTGCAGAGGCCAGCAGTGCCGGGAACGTTTGGCCAACTTCGAGGGTCAGATCCTGCTGGCTTGTATGTCTCCGCCCGAGTCCCAGAGCCACACCCGGGAGAGCCCGTACAGCAGCACCGGCCCTTTGCCGTGCAGGTGAGCAGCCGGTCATTGTATGCAGGTACAGAGAGTCTCCAAGGTGACTTTGAGGAATAGCCTCTTCCCAGGGTGAAGTTAATAATCATCCTGTTCTGTGGAGTCTGCTGCTGTAGACGAAGCACGTTACAGGTGCACCTCATCCTGTGGGTACTCTGTCTTGTCTTTTCTTGTTTTCAGCCTCCAGCTGGAATGAGCAAGCGCCGAGGACCCGGGCTGGGCGCGCCCGAGGAGAAGCAAGTGTGTGGGGGTCTGAGGCCCCTTTCTCACATGGGGTCACATCCTGGATCCTTGCCTCTGGGGCAGATGAGTGGCCCCAGTCAGGATGGAAATATGTACCCCGCAGCTCACTTCCAGCCAGGATTCATTCCTCCCAGGCATGGAGGGGTTCCAGCCCGACCCCCAGACTTTCCTGAAAGCTCAGAAATCCCTCCCAGCCACATGTACCGGTCATACAAATACCTGAACCGAGTGCACCCTGCTGTCTGGAATGGGAACCATGGTGCTGCAAACCCAAGACCCTTGGGGCCAGATGAGAAGCCCCTCATGGGGCCAGGAGCCTCTCACCAGCCTCGCACTCTTAGTCACATGATGGAGTCCCGAGTGATGAGACCACCTCTTCCTCCAAACCAGTGGACTGAACAGTCCAGCTTCCTACCTCACAGCGCTTCCTCCTCAGGGTGTATGCGCCCACCTTGCAAACCTGGTGGGCATCGGTTACCGCCGCCTCTAGCACCGAGTCCCCTGTTCGGAGCACCCCCCCAGGTTCTCCGAGGTGTGCAGGGAGGGGACTCCATGATGGACAGCCCAGAGATGATCGCCATGCAGCAGCTGTCCTCCCGTGTCTGCCCGCCCGGCGTGCCTTACCACCCCCGGCCACCTGCTCCCCCCCGCGTGCCTGGCCCTTTCCCACAGGGAGCTCGCTCGGCGTCTGTCGGTGAGGGAGCCCCCGAGCTCGCCTCGGGGGACCCCGGGAGGACACAGGAGCCTGGAGATGGCCAAGGTGAGTGACTCGCCCTTAAGTGGCTAGCTCATGAACAACCTCACACAGTGTCGAGCCAAATACAAGCTGGTTTCCAGCCTCTTTTTCTTGAACCATTCAGGGTTAGGCCGATCTTGGTATTGTTTTTGATCCCGAGATCCAAAAGATGTGCGGCGACGGTGCCCACTGCACAGGTGCAGGCGTGCGGGGCGCTGGTCCCGGGCTGCGCCATCTCGAGTCGCTCCCTCCCTGCTCTGGGCGCCAGGGCAGTGCCGCGGGTGATGTGCTCTGACCTGCACAGGAAGTGGTGCAGCTGAGTTTTGAACCCAGACAGACTGGATCCAGCATCCACGTTGTTTTCTTTTTTTAATCCTCACCTGAGGGTATTTCCATTTATTTTCAGACAGAGTGGGAAGGGGAGAGGGGGGGTGGAGGGAGAGAGACATCGATGTGAGAGAGGCACATCGACTGGTTGCCTCCCACATGACCCCAACCAGGGCTGGAGACCAAACTGCAACCAAGGGTCATGCCCTTGACCAGATTCAAACCTTTGACTCTTTGGTTCATGGGCCGATGCTCTAACTGCTGAGCCAAACCGGCTAGGACTTAATACAATTTTTTTTTATTTTTATTGATTGTTTTTGAGAGAGAGAGAAACATCGATGTGAAAAACGTTCATCGGCTGCCTCCTGCATGTCCCCACTGGAGATCGAGCCCACAACCCGGGCATGTGCCCTGACTGGGAACCCAGCCAGGACTCTCAGTCCATGGACGACGTTCAGTCCTCTGAGCCCACCAGCCCGGCGGCCTCCATGTTCTTAACCACTGTGTCATCCAACTGCCTTTAAAATTCCTGTCCTGAAAATTATCTTTACAAAATAAGCTTTTAATACTTTACTTCCAGTCTAATTATTTCTGTCCTTCTATTCCTTGGATGCGTATCAGTATCTACTAAGAATGAAGAAGAACAGTGAGATGGCCCCAGCCAGAGTGGCTCATTGGGTTGAGTGTCATCCTATGCACCAGAAGCTCATGCGTTCATTTTCCAGTTGGGGTTTATGCAGGGGGCAACCCATTGATTTCTCTCTTCCTCTCCCTCCCTCCCTCCCCCTCCACCCTCCCCTTCCTTCCCTCCTCTCCCCTCCACCCTCTTCTTCCTCCACCTCCACGCTCCTCTTCCCTCTCTCCCCCTCCCTTCCTTCTCCCTCCCCCTCTACCCTCCTCTTCCTCCCCCTCCACCCTCCTCTTTCTTCCCTCCCCTCCCCTCCATCCTCCTCTTCCTCCCCCTCCACCCTCCTCTTCCCTCTCTCCCTTCACCCTCCCCCGCCCTCCCTCCCTCTCTACCCTCCCCTTCCCTTTCTCTCCCTCTCTCCCTCCCTTCACCCTCCCCTCCCTCCCTCACGCTCTTCCCGGCCTTTCATTAAGTAAATATTGGCTCACTGTTTTGTGCAAATGCTAAGGGTATGGTAGGGAACAAAACATGGAGCCTTGTGCTCTGAGCCACAAGTCAGGGACCAGCCCCCTGAGACCCACCCTTCCCTGGTCGTCTCACTTTGTCAAGTTCTAGAGCCTCGTGGCCTGGCCTGCGATCTAGTGACATCCCTCCTGCCACAGCCCACATGATCTGCCTGAGTCCGTGGGCCACGAATCGTCTCACACCCTCACCAGTCTGGTGGTGACAACGCAGGAAGGGGGCAGGGACATCTCTCTTCTTTGGCAAACGTTCTGAGTCCTTGTAGAGTTGCTGGGTCTCCCTGCCAGTCTACCAAAGGCAAGGGCCTCAGCACCATGGCCCTCTCGGGGTCCCGGGCTCTCTCGCGGAGGCTTGAATGGCACACACCCTCCTCAGCCCTGCTCTCCTCTGCTCACCCTCTGCTGCCCCCAGTGCTGTTGTCATTTCAGCTACTGAGTGTGCTTTTGTCCCACTCCCTTGCAGCAGACCCTTTGCCTGGGCTCGAGAAGCCACCAAGCGTCGGTGCCTCAGAGGGGGTGTACCGCAAACAACTACCTCACCTGACGCCTCCCCTGCAGACCAGCTGCACCAGGCAGAGCTCGCCGCAGGAGAGAGAAGCAGAGGGCCCGGAGCTCCAACACGACTCCTCGGCATCTGAAGACAACTGTCAGGCGGCAAAGGGCGACAACCCCTGGCCCTCGGAGAGGGGCTACGCGCAGGACCTCTCCGCTCTGGCAGAGAGGGAAGCGCTGCCTGAAAACGGAGTGCTGGTTGACGCGCCCGCCTGTGGAGCAGAGGGGAAGGGCCTCGGTGGCGGTGGGCCGGAAAAGCCACTCTGCCCCAGAGGGAAAACCTTGCCGGAAACCATGCCATGTACAGGACAGAACCCGCCGACACCTCCCGGCGCAGACCCCAGTTTGGTGGGCGGCACTGTCAGTCAGTTCCCCCCCCTGTACATGCCTGGCCTGGAATACCCAAACTCAGCTGCACATTACCACATCGGTCTGGGCCTGCAAGGCCTGGGCCCTGTGGTGGGAGGCAAGCCCTCGGTGTCGCGGTCTCCGCATCTTTCCCCCAGGGGCTTCCATTCTGATAACCCTCATGCTGGAGTCTTTCCCCGCTACCGTCCCCACCAAGGGGTGCGGTATCCCTACCCGCCGCCGCCGCGGCCCTCCTACCATCACTACCAGCGGACCCCGTACTACCCCTGTCCACAGGGCTTTTCCGACTGGCAGAGGCATCTCTGTCCCCCGGGAAGCCCAGGCGGGCCCCCGCCTAGCCAGCCCGCCCCTCCGCGGCCCCTCTTCCCAGATAAGAGTGCCGTGGTCGGTGCGCACAGCTGCGGGGCGCTGAGCGCCGCCTTGGCCTCCCCGGCCCATGTGGACGCAGCGGCTGCGGAGGTCGCCGTGGCTGACGGGCAGAGTCCTGGCGCCGAGGAGGAGAAGCTGGAGGAGTCTGTGGAGAGGCCAGAGAGTCCCAAAGAGTTCCTAGACCTGGACAACCATAACGCAGCCACTAAGCAGCAGAGCTTGTCAGCCGGCGGGTACCTGTACGGGACGCCTCCACCTCTGAGCCCGGGCATGGGCTTCGGGCCGCCCGCGTTCCCCGCTCACGGCGTGATGCTGCAGACGAGGCCTTCCTGTCCTCCTCTGCGGCCGGCCGGCCATCTCCAGCCCAGGGCTTACTCTTCCCCGATGGCTGCTCACCCACCTCACCATCCAGTGGCTGCCCAGCCCAACGGCCTCTCTCAGGAGGGCCCCCTCTACCACTGCCAGGACGAGGGCCTGGGCCACTTCCAGGCTGTGATGATGGAGCAGATGAGCACCGGCAGTGGGGTCAGGGGCCCCTTCCAGGAAATGTACAGGCCTTCAGGGTAAGGCTGCGCTTGATTGATTTTTCCCTGAAAAAAGAGTAGATGTTAGTTTTCAAAAGAAAAATGGCCTTAGTGTAAACGCAGGTGGTCATCTGGGCCAAGAAAAGAGCATGTGGGTGGGGGACGTGGAGCTTCATGGAAGATGGATTAGCCATGGAGTTTGGTTTCATCTTGAGTGTTTTTTTCCCTCATGAAAATGAATTGGCATTTAAGTGACTATTCAGACTGCGATTGGAAACCGGCCGCAGTCTGAGCTGCAGGCAGGGTCTTTGGCACAGTCTGCGTTTGTGCGCGGCCAAGGCGAGGGCCCCACCCAGCCCGGGGCCCTCACGTTCGGGTTCAGTCCTCATCTCCGTTCAGCTGTCCAGGTCTAATCATAACATCAGTGTCACCCAACTTAAAGACCCCCCGCCCTCCCAGAACCAGCCTGAGCACACCTTGCCTCCTCCTGTTTACCCCTTCGCCATGTGTGCCTTCTGCCTTTGCAAATAGTCTTTGTTTTATTCCTTCTCTTTCTCTTTTTTTCCTGAACCATGAGAAAGTAACTTTAGACATTAGGACCCTTCGCCTTACATCAGCATATCCTGAGAGTAAGTCATGTCTTTTATAGGTAGGTTTCCTTATTTTTTTTTATTTCCATTCAAGATCAAACCAAGGTTTATGTATTTACATTGGGTTATGTCTGCTTAGTATCTTAATTTACACCATTTACCCCACCGTTGTCTTGTTTTCTTGTTTTTCAAAGAGCCCAGGCCAGTTCTCATGCAGTCTCCCAAATTCTGGGCCGTTCCTGTTTCCTTGTGTTTAGAGTGGAGTTTAAACTAAGTGCGCGTGTACTTACTGCATCGTGCCAGGAGGCTAGTTTTTCTCAGTAGTGAGGATCCCAGTTCAGTCACCTGGATAACGAAGGCATGTCTGCCCGAGATCTTCATGATTAAAGTCTCTTTCCCTTCAACTCTTAACTGTTCCTTTCTTGTGGCTATAGAATGCAGATGCGCCCAGTCCATTCCCAGTCTTCTCTCCCAAAGACCCCGGCACCAGCCACGTTGCAGGATGAGCTACCACCACACAAGCCCCCGACGCTCCCTCTTGATCAGGTAAGAGGCCGACAGGCAGAGCTCCCCTCACTGCTGCAGGTGGTAGGAAGGGCCGCGTCCCGCCCACACCGGGATCCACGGGTGCAGAGGGCCGAGTTAGCTGTCTCGGGTTTCCACCTGCACGGGGGGTTGGGCTCCTCACTCCACATGTTTTATTGAAATCATTGTTCACAACTTCATTACTATTCTGGAAAAAACTTATGTTTTTAAAATATGTTTTTTATTGATTTGAGAGAGAGAGAGAGGAAGAAGGGAAAGGGAAAGAGAAACGTGGATGAGAAAGAACATTGATTGGCTGCCTCCTGCATGCCTTGCATTGGGAATCGGGCCCACAACCTGGGCATGTGCCCTGCCTGAGAATTGAACCAGTGACCTCTTGGTGCATGGGGTCAGTGCTCAACCCCTGAGCCACACCTGCTAGACTGAAAAAAATCTCTTAAGGTGCCCTGTTGATGTAGGCACTTTGACTAGATAGTGCTTCGTGTCCTGTAGGCGGTCGGATGAAGAGTTGCTCAGGGCTCAGCCACGGGAAGGGTCAGCAGGAGGCCTCTGGGAGCAGCTCCTGCTATTGAGTGTTCCTCCTCCTTCCCTCAGCGATTCATTGTTTGGAGGTCGTTTGAACTTCTATTTTTCCACACTGTCTACCAGCATGTATTTTGATACAATCCCTTGCGTATTTTATCCTTCCCACCGATTTGATTTTCGAGGGCCCAGGCAGTCAGCTGTTGAAATACTAGTAGCGCCTGGGAGCGCTGCTCCGCGCCTGGGCTGGCTGAGGGCGCCTGGGCGGCCTCGCCCGCTGCGCTGCCCGTCCCTGGTGGGCGAGAAGTCCTGCTGGGCTTGAGCGGGAGGGTCAGCCCTTCTGGGCCCCTGGACGTGACTGCGGCTGGGGAAATAAGGTCCAGCCATTTTCCCAAATTAGAGGAACAGCTCTTTGGCTTATTTAATTGTTTTAACAACACAAATTGAATATTGTTTAAATCGTCCTTGTTTTGCTTTTCCCAGAGCTAGTCCAAGGAGGAGATAACCCCAAGGAAACGGAAAGCTGCACATGAAGACTGGAACATGGAGAACTCTGGGGAACGACCGTCACCCATCTTACTCCTGTCGCCCTGCGTGCCCCTCACAGCACACACCTCGTGCGTCCGGGGGCTGGACACGCTCTGCTCACACCGCCCGCACCGCCCCAGGGGCCTGGTCGGGAGCTCCTGCGTGGCTGACAGTCAAGAACAAGTGAATTGGAATTGGTGATGGCTTACAAGTCCTGAGACTTGTTCAGGGAAATTCTTCTAACACTTGGGAGGGGCGTGCGTTCAAGGGGAACGGAGTGGTGCTTGTACCCGTTCATGAGCAGCTACACTCAGGTATACGTGTGGGGAAGGAACTACTCATAGTATTAATGTCTTTGGAGCTGGGTCCAGTTTACAGAATTTTCATGTTGCCTTTTAAAATAATTGTTGTTGTTGGTGAATGTATCGTGCATGAGTGGAAGGTGGGCGGGGCTGGTAGGAAGGGGAGCCTCGCTGGCGGGCACGCAGCCTGGAGCGACCCCGTCGGGGGCTGCGGGTGCTCCCGTGTGTCCCTGTGTGTTCCTCCGTGGCCACTGTCCCTAAAGAGCGAGGCCTTCTTTCCTGTCAGCCCAGGAGACTGTCCCACTGCCCGTCAGTGCTCAGCTCAGATGCGGCGTGCTCTCACGACCTTCCAGAAGTTTCTGCCCAGAAAGCCTTTGGCTGGTGGTGCAGGTCTTGGCCGGGGAGAGCAGTACCCTCCCCGGTCGCTGTCACTGGTCCCGGAGCTGTGAGCCGGGTCGGCTGGGCTTGCTCGGGTGTCTCATTAGAAGAGAAAGGGGCGCCCTCTTCCCAGGCCGCAGGCACGGCCCTGGGGCGCACAGCTGCTGCCGGGTCTGTGGGCAACTACTCAGGTCTGTATATGTTAGCGTCAGGGAGGGAATTGCACAGTTTTGAATAGGGAAAATGTATCTATAGGTTTACAGCTTGAGTTTAGGAATATTTCACTATATATAGTCTTTATCATTTTAAATGAATCAATAAGTCATGGTGGTTTAAAATAGCTATCAATCATTTGTCGTATATGTGATAGGAAACAGTTACAGTTTTAGAAGTAAATTACACTGGATTCTCCCTGTATTTGATTTTAGCTGAGATGCCACCAAAGTTAAGGCTTATCTGAATATCCCACACAAAGAAAGAACTAAGAATGCCCTGAAGTGATAGGTTTTTGTAAAGAATAGCATATTTTTAAGCATGCCTTTGGGATAGTGGAAAAGCTACCAAGATATGGTAATCTGCCTAGTTACTCGAATTCACCTGAGCGAGGGTCTGGCAGAAGGAACCATGATGGGACGTGGAGCTGGCGTGTTTGCTGTCCTTAGGAAGAGGAACAACCTGGAAGCATTCATGTTAACACAGGTGGACCCCAGAGCCCGCTGCAGTGCGAGGGAAAGGCACCCGTGAGGGTGTCATGGCCCCTGGCAGCATGGCCGCGGCTCGGCCAGCCTCCGAGATACAATGCACAATGTGAATTTTTCTCTAACAAACTTTAATTTTGAATTTGGTGTGCTTTTAAGTGGAAGGAGTTTTAAGGCTGTGTTCTCATTTATCCCGATCCTTGCTGGAAACCTAGCCTGGGCATCCTGCGGGCTAGAAGAACAGAGGGGTCAGCACTGTCTGCAGGAAGGCAGGAGAGGCCCCTGGGGTCTCGGCTGGCCCCTGAGCCGGTCGTGTGGAAGACAGCACGGGGGAGGCCTGGCTACTTCTGTCTGTCTGTGCAGAAGCAGGGAGGGGAGAAGACCAGCGGTCTTGACCGCTAGTGTGAGCCTGGCCAGACCTGGCCTTGGCCTAGAGCGTTCTGCGACGGACTGCCTCTCTCCGCACAGCTGGTTTGCGCGGGAGGCCTCCACTCGCCCTGAACTGGGAGCGCAGGGACCACAGGGACCACAGGGCCTCTTCCCTTGGTGCTAAAGCTGTGGGGTTGCTTGTGCTGAACCCCCTGGGCATGGCTAGGCGTGAGGGCAGCAATAGTTGGCTGAAATGGACCCTTCCACCCTGGTGGTGTCTGAGCAGCTGTGTACACACTGCTTGAGGTCACCCTTTCTTCCTCACTCTCCCCTGTTACCTGTGCTTAGAAGCTGTGAACAGTATAGGAAAAAGTCAGTAAATTCTTCTGTCCTCAATCTCCCTTCTCGGTATGTAGAGAAGTGAGAAACGCGTTAGGGAAGATGATAGGAAATTGAACTACTGTATTCTGTTACAACACTGTGAACTGTATTCTGTTAAAACGTCGCCTTGCTGCCCCGCGTGGGGCTTGGTGTGCATTACAGGCGCAGCCCCTCCCGTCTGCTCTGTCCTGAGCGGGGCCTGGCCTCCGCGCGGGGCCGCAGGGACACACATGGCAGCCTGCTGTGGCTGCTGGTCCACACAGCCCCACCCAGCAGCTCCTTCTGACCGTCCCTTTGTCCTCTGGCGCTCTTTCCACGTGTCCTCAGCCGAGGCACGGCCAGCTTCTCCGAGAGGGAAGGAGGTGGTCACAGGACGAGCTGTGACTAGGCCGCGGAGGGTGAGGAGTCCCAGGGTCTGCTCTCTGGCTGGAGGACTCCGCCCCGGGTCCCGGCAGCCTTGTCAGGGTGCTGGCTCTCAGCGGTGCCCAGGGACAGCGCGCTCCGGGAGGGACAGGCCTCACACCGGTGTGGTTCTGCATTCATGGCTCACTTTCATTAGAGTTGTTATAAGCTAAAAGCTCTTTCCCCAAGATTCAAGGAAAAAACACCCGGAAAGAAAAGGAGAGCTGTACGGTTTCTGGTCTGGGAGCTCTCCCCTCCCAGTCTGTTCATTAAAAAGTAGCTTTTGGTTAAAATTTATTATGGTAGATGCATTTGGAGAATAAGGAAGGACGAAATATGCAAATTCTTGTTCATATAATTTTTGCACCCTGCTTTTTAAAAAAATGTTCAGTCACTCCATCTCTTCTCAGGCTGGGTTAGTTCTGCTAGTGCACGTGAGAGGACGAAGTTGTGTGTTCTCCGAGCCAGAGTCGGGCTGCTCTCAGACGCTGGCTCCCCGGCGCCCGCGTGCCCGCCCTGGCCCGCTGCTTGGTGCTCGTGCTCATTGCTACTGTCCAAAACCGTTCCTCTGCTGGTTCAACTTTGTTCTTGCTTTTTTTAAATGGACGTTCAAGTCTGTAATATACTGCTCTTCAGACCTGATTTGGAACTTCGCAGGAGTCCTGACCCAGCAGTCCGAGGCAGGACAGTTCCGTGTGAGTCCTGCCCTGCCTTCAGGGAAACTGCTTAAGGAAACGAAAGGCTCAGTGTTTTCTAGCGTTACTCCCCCTTTGTGCCTGTCCCTCAGTCGTCTGTCCAAGCACCCCTCCCAGTCTGCACGGAGCCCCGTTGCAGAAGTTGGCTCTGTGTGTGAGGGTGAAGGACTGTTCACCTGGGCTTTCTGGGGTGCGGTGTCCTGCAGACGACTGTCCGTGCTGCAGTGAGGACACTTGGAACTGTGTTACTCCAGGGCTCCCGGAACCAAGGCTGATTGAGCCTCACTGTGTGAGAAGAAACCAGATCCCCTTTTCCTTTTTGGTGAGTTGGACTCTCGTGCATCCTGAGGACTCTGGGCTTTGTCCCGCTTTCTTTTTGCTAAGACAGGACTTGAGGGAACACGTATCATCTTTCATGTGAAGCTGTGCACAGGCTTTGTCTGCAGGCTGGGTGTTTGTCCCCCTCTGCTCTGTAGGGGCCTCTGCTAGTCTCTAATTCTGCACCAAGAATTCACTGAACCTTCATGTAGAAATGCCTGATAACCAACTAATAGTCCTGTGTGGTGGGGTCAGAAACAGGGGTATGTACGTTACTGAAGTGCTTGGCCCCCGTTCAGTCAGTCTGTGGAACCCCTTCTTTTCCATAGCTGGGCTTGGGCCCCTCACCCTCCTGCCTTGCACACAGCTCCTGGGAGCCCAGGCCAGTGTCCACCAGCCTGTGGCACACAGGGTCAGGGATTCTTTGCGCGCCTGCTGCAAAGGCTGTGTGAACTCTGCTGGCCGATACTGGAAAGGGGAATGCTATTTATTTTTATATTTGTATATTTTGTCGTGGTCTGCTGATTCCCTGTTTCACTGAGAGCGACACTTACCTCAATAGTTAGTTTAATTTTGTGTGTTGGATAATTTTTTGAAAGAACTTTTTTAAAAGCTTTTTGATCCTTGGAGATCTGTAGATTTATTTCCATATGAACTGGTTATTTTGTATAAAGTACATTCTTAAAATAGCAAGTCTCTGCTATGTGTGAGTCCTGTGTCTGTGTCACTTACTACCAGGGCACATTCCCATGGGGCGGAGGTCTGAACCAGGTCCCAGTGCCAGCACCTGAAAGGGGTCTGAGCCCTGGCTGGTGTGGCTTGGTTGGAGCACCCTCTGTGCACTGAGCGGTCACGGGTTTGATTCCCAGTTGGGGTGCATATTGGAAGGCAACTGGCCAGTGTTTCTCTCGCCCTCCCCTTTTCCCCTTCTCTCTCTCTCTCAAATCAATAAGAATATATCCTTGGGTGAAGATTTCTTTTTAAAAAGGTCACTTAGCCCTGGCCGGTTTGGCTCAGCGGTTAGAGAGTCGGCCTGCGGTCCCGAGAGACCCGGGTTCGGTTCCCGCTAAGGGCACGTACCTCGGTTACAGTTTGTCCCCGGCCCTGGATGGTCGTGCGGGTGGCAGCCACTCGATGTGTCCCTTCACGTCGATGTTTCTCTCTCTCTTCCTCTCCCTCCCTCCCACTCTACCTGAATAAAAAAATAGAAAAATGTCCTCAGGTGAGGATAAAAAAAAATTTAAAAATAAAAATAAAAAGGTCACTTAGTCTAGGCAGTGGTGTTGGCGTGGGGCCCGGGCCCTGTGCAGGTGATGGTTGTGTGCTCCGGAGAAGGGGAACAGGAGTGTCAGGGATCAGACCCTCTCCCACCTCGCGCTCTCCCCTCCCACACCTTCCCAGCCCTTGGTGACACCGGTAGTCCACTGATTTTGAGGGGGGCCTGGAACGTCCAGGACACAGGCGATAATGGGACAGGGCGGCCCTAGCCTGGGCTACGCATGAACTGAGCTGGTACTTTCCTACCTGCCCACTTGATGATTTAGTTTTTATTTCCAGTTCATGGAGCATTTTGATTGGGGGGGAGAGAATAGATTTTAAAAGTATCCACCCTATCAGCTGTAGGCTTGAGACACCAAACTTCCTGGCCTGGTTTAGCCTTAAATAATTCACCTTGTAAAATAATTACATCCAGAAAAAATTCTACCACAGACTGTACCCGCTTCTAACCTGCTGCTCACTCCGGTGGTCCCCTCGTAGGGCGGTGGCGGGTCCTTCCATCTGACCTCCAGTCGTTTGGTATCAAGTTACCCCACATCGTTTGAGAACATTTTTTGAGACTTCCTTTCTGTTGCTATTTTAAAATCAGGTTCCCACGAACATTTTTTCTTTAAAATACTGTGTCTACCACATTTCCTAGTTTAGTAGTTGCATTTTCATTCACTTTTTAATTTTTTTTTATCCTCTGCGAGGACATTTTTCCATTTTTTCT